GCCGTCGGGGGTAGCCAGGCCGTGTTTTGGAACGGTCAGCGAGAGGGAATTTGTAGAGGCATTCTTGTCAGCCTTGACGGAGCGGATGCTCGAGGCGCTGCTGACGTTGCCGCTCGTGGGACCCTTGAGGGCGGTTGTATTGATCTTGGGCGCATTGTCCTCGGTTTCCCAGTTGCACTGCGGGGCAGTCAAGTCAGTACGCTGGCGACGAGACGTGGCTCGGGCTGGCACGATTTCGGCATGATCAACGTACGCGGAAGAACTCGCCGAGACACGAGTTGTAGGGCTTGCAGGGCCTGCCCTTGACGTATTTGAGGTCTTTGGTGAACCAAAAGCGGCATACCTCAAGCATGCGGTCGAGGGGCTCGTCGGCGGTGCCGATGGCGACGAAGGCGTTGGGTGCATCGAGGTAGGTCCAGTACTCGAGGTTCGGGGTCGGCTCGAGAAGCTGAGAGGGCAGCGAAAAGCGAACGGCAGCAAGGTCTGCGACGCCCATGAACCTGCAAGCCGAATAGAGGTCAGCGCCGTGTTGCGATGTTGCGTTATCGCGATGCGATCTTGGAGTGTCGTGAAAACGGGCACAAGGAGCCCCGTTGAAAAGAGGGCCAGGGATGGTACCCCTCATCCCGCACGTCTCGCAGCACCTAGGCTCGGCGCCAGGACAGAAAGAATAAAGGGCGACTTACTTCCTCAGGATGCCGATAAACGTCTTCAGCTTGGAGGTGTCGCTTGGAGGCTCCTCGGGGGCATCCACGACGGCGGTTGGCGGCGCTGCTGAAGCCATGACGATGTCGGAGGCGGGGCTGAGCTTGCTCGCTGGGCAGTGTGATGTAGGTAAGGTAAGGTACTTGGGTCGTCGTCAAGAGTAGGTGGCAAGGGTAGAGGCTGGTAGAGAGTGCGTACGTTGGCGGCTGGCTCGCGCGAAGCGGATGGTGCTGCAACAAAGGAGGGGCAAGGCTATCTCGCGAGAGTTTCGAACAGGATTTGGTTTTTTCTGTTTCTGCCGCACGGCTGGGTGCGTCCGAGGCCGATGTTTGATGTTCAAGTGTCCGTGTTCGAGGGCAAAGTTTGGGATAGGGCGGTGGGAGAGACGAACCCCCGAGGCTGCTGCGGGCTGCGGGCCGCGGGCTGTGGGCCAGATGATGATGATGCTGCGGCAGCTCCCACTGCTGGTTCTTCAGGGCGCCGTGCGCTGTGGTGCGCGCTGGGACAACTACCTAGCCTGGGGCCTGGGGCCTTGGGCCGGGCCTTGGGAGGGGGCTGCGTGGGCCAGGCTCTGGGAAACTGCTGAATGGTGACGTGAGGGCGCCACTTTTTTATTTTTTGACCCGGCCGGTGGGGGACTTCGCCGCTGATAAGGTCCCCCCAACTCTTTTGGATAAGCCGTTTGTCTCGTCACCGACTTCCTCCTTTTGCTGGGAGCGATGATGGAGAGATATGAACAGATCGTGCGAAGCCTTCACTTTGATACGTCGTTTACCATGCGATGCTTCGAGCTCAGAGGAATATCTACAAGAGGGATGTCCAACCTTCTTTCTGATATCCAACTACACACACCGCGTCACTCACCTCGGCACCTGGGACCCCTCAACTGAGAACTCGTTGCTTCACTCATCTCTCCCACGAGCCAATCATCCCGCCCACATGTGCCCTACACCTGCGTCGACATGTCCGACTTGAGCCTTGCCGCAGGCGCTAACTCTTGCGTCCCCCTTTGCGTCAGAAACCTGTCAGCTGCACTGCGTTCGCTCGTTCTGGACCCAGCGCGTTTCCTGCAAGCCACCATCGCTGGCCTTTCGTGGCACAACGTGCCTCTCTGCTTCTGTGTCTCCCTGTCTCTCTGCCTCAGGTGTGCGCACTACTTTTCTAACCCGTGCCAGGCACTGACTGACCGACATGCTGAACATGGCCAGATGACAAGGCGCCATGACAGCCTGGCGATCGGGCTTGTGACCCTCATGACTAATACGTCGACATGCTTCCACCATGAGCGTCATCAATGTGAACGTCACAAATGCCGTTGTGTACGGCTGCTGTTCTGTTATTCGGGATAAACCTAGCCGAAGCCGACGAGGCGAGCCCCCTGGCAGGCAAGCATCAAAGCTGTCATGGTGTTGATCCATACCTCAAATCGCACAAGTTACACCTCCAAAATACCACAACTTTTGATACCTTTTTCCAAAGTACACTCCTTTCCAGAGGTACCTTCGTCGATACTTCATCTGGAAATAGAAACATGGGAGCCAGCATCATCCACTACCCTCGCATGGATATGTAATCGTCCCGCCCAGCGAGTGACCCCCTGAGCCAACTTTTCCATCTAGACAAACGCCAGTCGACGTCAGAATAGGCCCCCAAAAACACAAAGTACTCAGGGGAATAGAGCAGAAATCCGCATAAGCTTTTTTTTCTTCCCAATATTCGATAGCTTGTGGTGGGTAAAATGGCACCTTACCACCCGTCAAAGCTCGTATTGCCTCAGGGTCCACGAGCATCTTGGTCGATCACTTCCTACAACAGCACCGTCCTTGTTCAGGGTCCTGAGGCTGTGCAAGCCATCTCACCAGCTATGTCGCACCGAGCGAACCACGACTGCGTCCGGCCGGGTCCCCCCTCCGCGATCAGGGTCTTCGGGGCTTGAGCTACCTACCGCACCGCGCCGAAGCGTCACGCCTACCCACCCCCTTCTGTACGTCTGCCGCTCTGTGAACTGTGAACTGGGACGTCAGAGGAGGAGGGTCCCCCCCTTGCCCCGGCACCGGTGCACCGCCCGACGCCGGGCTGCCGCCACTTTGCTTCGGTGGCGAACAACCTCACGGGATCAAGGGCCGTAGTCACGGTGGTTTGTCGCCTCCCTTCCTGAGGAGAGACGGAAACGTCCATCCACAAGAACCGTGGCGTGCTCGGCAGGCCTCCTGCCCACCTGACCACCGTCGATGACTCCCCTCGACCCAAGCATCCGGCGCCCGAGTAAGTCATTTGCATGAAGATGCTGGCTGTCTAGCCTCGTGTCGTCGAGCCTAAGGGGGTCGGCCAGCGGCCACCCAAAAGGTCCCAACCCATCGACGACTGCAACAATGACCCTTCCTCGAGAGCAACACCAGGAACGACACGAAGTCCCCCTCGCTTAGTACGCAGACCCAGGACCCAGGACTCAGGCTTTCGAACCCATGATCTCCTCCGGCATCACCTCCCATCCAGAGCAAGATCGCCACTTCTCCATGCTCGCGTGTGTTTGTCGATAGTCAGGCACAGCCGACCCGAGACACTTCTTGGTTTACCGGGAAATCCCACCTCCCCCCCTGGAGATAGGGGTAAAATGGACAAGAGGCAACGGGGGGGTCACCCTTTTCTTCGGTCCCCACCATCCGAACCACCGAAACCTTCTGTCGAAGCGAAGGGGACCAGAAAAAATTCTGCGGCACGTCCGGCGGCGGCGGCGGCGCGCCGAGAGGGGTCGGAGAGGCCACGGACCCCCCGTCAGGATGACTTCATGATCGCCGTTGCGGCTGCTCTCTTCGGCAAGCTTGGCCGCCAATAATTGAGTATAGCCGCGTGGACAGGCGCCCCCCTTTCATTCTTCTTTCCCCTAACGCCAGTATCGACTCACAATCCCGGTATGCGATCTTCCCAAGAAGATGCACGGTAAGGGTGCTGTTGTTGTTCCCCTGAAAAAAGAGGGGAGCCACAGAATACTTCCATTCATTCCATCGTACTCTTGTCGGCCGCGTGGTCAGCCAGAGGGGGACCTATGTTATCATGATTTTGAACCCCCCTCCGCTACATGCAGACCCCAGAACGAACCAACCCGGCTCGAGTCTTCGCGCTGGGCACGCGATTGACAGGCTACACATGCCCGCCCATACTTCTGTCTCCGGGTGAGAAGGCTCGCGGAGGCGGCACTTTGCATCACCAACAGACTGGGGGTATCTCGAGTCATGATCCCATCGATAGCACAGCATGGTAATGGGATAGTTGTTCCAATAGAACCAATTCACCAGCTTGTGATTTGCGGCTCGGTCTCCGCTGAGGCGCAGACCTCAGCATATACTGACGCCATTGTGACCTGCACGCGGCTCCTGATTGTGTATTGTTTTTTTCTCGAATGGGCCAGCACTCACGTTCCATTCATCGTGGGGTATGGGAGGCATGCGGTAGCTCAATGTTGCCCTGTCGGCTGCTGAGTTGAGTTTGATGGCCCGCGCCTCAATCATGCTGCTGTTGCCTCTCTCAGATATCCTCCGCACGCCATCCTCATTCATACAAGGGACCTACGAGTCATTCGCCGCATCATCGTATCTGACATGGCAGACAATGCCAGGCGCGTGCACTTCTCTTTGCGATGCCAGCCCATATGCCGTGAAGAGGGGGATGTCGACATCGAGATGGCGGTCCCGGTTGAACATCCCTGGTAGCTGGGAGAACGGGGCGTTGCCTGTGTTGGCCTGTGGCGGCGGTACTGCCCCAAAGCAGGCTGGTGCGCGGCGCCTCGACCGAACACGTACCCTGAATCACACTTTGACAGGCAAAAATATGGCTTACCCAACGGCTTACTGGAACCGTCAGCCATCAAATCGACCGCTCCTTACCACTGATCGCTCTGGCTCTCTTCAAGGGGAGGGACCCTGGCGCTTGAGCGCGACCGTTGGCACCAATAGAGCGTCCAGAACCAGTTAGCATCCCGATAGGGTTGCCGCGGGCAAGGCGGGGAATACCACCTCAGCAATCCTACCAGCACACCCCGTAGCCACATCTTGCGCCTGTCTCTGTGCGATACAAGTTGACATGGACAAGCTTTCGAATCGCCTGCTCGCCTCAAGCTCGAAGCCATGCGACGCAACACGGGGCGGCGTAGCTGCCGATGGGCCGATTCCACCCCAGTGGCTGTCCACGGAACTGAACTTCTTGACCGCCAGAAGCGGCTCGACGAAGAGCCTTGAGTGCCTCGGGAGCCAACAGACTGCGTACTAGATGGTCGGCTTGTACCTGCCTTCGTGGGCACAGACGTGACATCGTGTGCTCACCTCCGCCAGAAACTCTTGGCGCCCATGGAGCCCCCATCACGCGTCGCTGCATGCCGAGCCTGACCTGGCCTCGTCGAGGAATTGCGGCGCCGACATCACGCCATGTTCCTCCACCGCCCAGGGCTCTCTGTTGGGCGAAAGGACGCCCGAGGAGGTCACCACAGGTTTGACCGAGCGGCCGGTGTTGTGCAGATGGTTGATGTGCCTAGGCAGCTAGGCAGCTTGTGCAAATGGCGTGCGTGGGAGTGACAACAACATACCCCGAGAGTGACGTTGTCGACGCTAAGGGAGGCATTCAGAGACCCCTCCTACGGAAAAACAACCCACATGACCCTTATGGATGGGCTCTGTTTCAGAGAAGAGTTGACACTAGAGCTGGCGATTGGTTGACGGCACAAGATCTCTCGCCTGGGTAGGCGTATGTTTCAAGGTGGTGAGCTGATGTCCTTCCGGAAGACATGGCAGCCATTGTTTGCCTTTCTGTGCCTTTCTGTGCCATACGGTATGGCCACGAGGCGAAACCGGTGCTTCATCGTGCACCATTTTGACATGGTGTTGGTCTTGTAAGGATGTGGCTCGAGGGCCAAGGGTTTAGCTATCCCACCAGAGACGTAGGGTACCTACCTACCTACCATACCTGATCCGAGTAGGACCTTACGTAGATAGGTAGCTCACATGGAGGGAGAGGAAAGACCCAGACCCAAGTGTGTCGCGCGCGAGGCTCGACCCGCCTGCCCCGCGCTGGCGCGCTTGGTTGAGTCACGAGATTACCACCTGCAGCAACTCCTGTTGGGGTTAGCAGACACGCTGACGGATTTTGCATTGTACCATGATGAGCACCCGTCAGAACGGCATCCTTTCACAAGCGGCCGTGGGTTGAGAGGCCCAAGGTTTGCGGTGGAGATATTTAGCTCCAAGCCATCTATCTCCCCTGGCCCGTGCCCACAACGACCCTTGTCTTTGTCGTGAAGGTATCCCAGGGCTTGCGACGGCCCATGACGTCATACTGTGACACTGGGTTCAAGGCTCAGTGAAGGTCGGAAAAGCTGCGTGGGAATGTGCTTCAGGATGCATACGCGGGACGCGGAAGGCGGCTGTGGGTCATGGTCAAGCCTCGACGTTGCAGTGACCGACCTCCTCTCTCCAGGTTCTGGATCGGAGGACCATCTGGCTCAAGGGGTTCGTCTTGTGGCCATGTCCGTGCTCGAGCGTTGTGTCTCATCTCGGATTGCGACTCTAATCTTCGGTAGCGAGCCTGTGAGCGTCGCAAGCTCAGAAGTCCCAACACATCCCATCCCCAAAGGGCAGATGCCGGTATCGCTATGCCTGTCTTAACTTGGGCGGTATTGATGAAATCTAGGGTCGGATATGGCAGCCGTTTACGAGCCATTAACGCGATGGGTGGGAATATTGTGCGTTCGATATTGCTCCCCAAGGGCACGACGGCTGACTCGCACCTGACCATGTGCCGCGCCGGCTCAAGGTTCCTTTGACACACGTGAAAAGTGTCAAGTGAGGATAGAGCGGCGGCTATTCCCTTACGTGTCTGTGCTGAAGAGATTGCACCACGTTGTAGAGTAAGCCAGATAATGACGTCAAGTCGCTACTGAGCTCAGTCCGTGATGAGTCGGTCGCGGAGGAGGGCTCCGAAAGATAAGGATTGGAGATTCAGGGGGGGGTTCAAGCGGTGTCGCCGAGTGTTGAACACAAGATGATCGTTCAACCCTCGCTCGCCCTGTTGTTACATCGTGAGTCGCGTTCGTAGATCGAGGGGCCGGGCGACGCAACATCATCGCGATTTGATGATAAAAATAAAGCTGATGATGATCTGTGGTTGAGCCTGTCGTCTCGCCGAACACTTTGCACAAAGTAGGCCAACACACTGGTGATCTCGGGGTGCCCTAGGGTGGTTCGCCCCCCGTTCCTTGGCAAGTTGTCGCTAAGCCACTACTCGAGCGAACGACAAGCCGCCAGCCGAATAGAAGGGTCGTTCCAGAGCACACGATTCCACAGGCAGGTCAGCGAAAGGCAGAATCACGCCAACAGCTCCAACGCCACGTGCATCGAGACGACTAGCGCTGGGAGATTGAAGAGGAGCAAAGCCGGCGAAACGGCGCGTGAGCTAGAGGGAATTCAAGGCTGGCGTGCCTCGACAGCTGCCCCTTCATTTCCTCCACCAATTTCGTGTGGAAGCAGTCGACTGGTAGCTTGGGCTTACCGCCGGAAGCCTGTGGCCGAGCTGGTGCGGCAGGCTCTGGGCACGGGCATCATGTTCCTCAAACACACATTGATCTTCCTCGTCTGATCGTGATTCTCGCGGGTAATAGCATGCAAATGGTACATTTAACCTCGACACCAAGCCAGCTGGTGGCTAATCCCAATGAGATGGATACCTGGTGGAAAGTCGTGATCCATTCACAACTCTAGCAGCCAGGGCGTTAGGTCGCAGATGCGACAAAAGTGCGAGGTAAGGATATCGTCGTTTGATAGACCAGCAGTAAAATATGGCGCATTACCCTCTCCTGTCGTGGGGTTGGGCATTTGAAGTTTGCCATCAAGAACCTGTGCACAGCCACACGGGCATGGCCGCCCTGCGTAGGAGGCTGGTGATGATCAACGTCCCTGAATTTAGTTCGTCCTCATTGTGGTCACCATGTGCAATGCTGTTTGGCCATGTTGTGGGCTCGTCCGTATCCAGTTGTTGGCTTCCGAAACGGGTGCTTGGGGTCCTGCCATGTTGGGAAACTGCAGAAGAGCGGCCAGGACAGGGCGATTGAACATCGAGGCACCTCGGGGAGTAAGGGTCGTGGCAGCGAGGGAAGAGACATCTGTCGCACGCCAGATCAAGAGTCCCTGCCTCGGGGTAAAGTCCGAAAGGCCAAAAGACAACATCACTTTGTGTAGTTGGAATGGGAAAAAAAAGCAAAGCGTCCTTTGCTGTCATTGCCGAAAGCCACGAGTCGGGCCAGAAGACAAGTGCTAGCCTCCACAGGGGCTGTGGTGCATCTCTCCGTCTTTGATAGCCGATGACGAACCCAAGTCCCGATGGAGAGGTGAACGTTCGTGTGCTCAGTGTCAGGATGGGGCCTGTTCGAACATGTGGAATACCCGGCTCAATGGGACAGGAATGGGGGTCGCGCGAGGTCTCGACAGCGCGCTGGCGAGGGGTAGCCTGCTTCTCGTCGTCTTCCCTTTGATCTCCATCTCCGCGTCCAGCTCCATCGACTGCAGGCCCTGTTGTGTTGGTTTACCGCCTCAGACGACGAGGGCCTCGAGTGTGTCGGTTGATTTGCCATCATTGATCCGTCTGTTGCCGTGCCGCACCGCGCATGGGGGGGCTCGAGACCTGACGTGTACGACGTCTTGGTAAGATTGGGGAGACCGCCGACGACAGTCTGGACCAGACAGGCACAAAGGCGCGACGACAGACTGAAGGGCTTTGGTGAACCAGTGGACCGACCTACCGAGTCTTGAGCCCCGTGGTGGAACAGTGGGTTGGTGGGCAGCAAGCATCGCAGACAGTGCAGCTTGTGCTAAAGTCCATCGACTTGCCAATTCAGCATCCTGGGGCCTTGCTGCTTCACGCCCACGGTGTGAGTGTAAACACCGCGCCCCCGAGAAGGGGGGGTTCTTGCAGCTCATTTTGTGGCGAGGGTACTGTACTAACAATTTCCGTGGTTGGATTGCAAGGGGCTGGTGGGGTGGCTTGCCCAGCGCGCTCTGCTGTTCAGGTCAGCTCATGAGGGGTGGGGAGGGGGGTCTATGCAGGAAGGGGTCCCTGCCTGACTGTATGGGAGTTCCTACCCCCGCTCACTTGCCTCAAGGCTTCCTCCTGCCTGCACTTCGTCGGTCGCGTCTGCCCTTACTTGTTCGGCCAGGCAGCAAACAAGTGATGGACGGGCAGGTGCCTAGGTAAGGTAGGTTGGCAATTAAGCAGATACCTCGGTGCGTGATTGGGAAAATGGCGGGGGGGGGGGGGAGCGGTTTGGTTAGGCTCTTCTCAGTCGGCACAGGGGATGCTCTACAAGTGGGCAAGCCCGACCCGAATCGTTGTGACCCCCCGGGGTCCAAGGTACAAGTACAAGTGGGCTTCCATTTGTGCCCTTTTCCCCTTCCAGGCTCCACCGTCCCTTCTCTGTCCGCTCATCCTTTCTTCGTCGGGAATCGATGCCACCTAGACCCTCCTCTTTCAACGTCGACAGTACAGCCCCAAGTAGCCTTCTCAGTAGAGGTACAAGGACGCGAAGAACCTGGGTCCAAAGTACAGACCCAACGACGAGTACTTGCTTGGCGAAGGCCTCCTGCGACGGGCAAATACCTATTCGACAACGTGAAAGACAGAACGACGGCACAACAGGACGAACCGCCGATCCGACCTGCCAGCCTGCCTCGCGGGGTACATTACCGCAGCCATCCTTCAACCCTCGACCACCAATCTGGCCAGCTGCCGATTGCCTTTCTGTCTCGTCAGATACACGACAACGCCGTCTCGTCCGTCTTGCTCTCTCAGTCTCTGAATTATCATCAGGGCAGACCGTATACATCTCCCCTCAAGCCCAGACGAAGCACAGGCCCTCGGCCGCCATTTTCTGTTCACTTGGGTCTTCATCTTCCACTAATCTGACCCCGAACCCCCCGAGAGAAGCGCCCACCCCCCGGAGAGCACGACAAGTACGCCAACCCGGTCTTCTCCACCACAAGAGGCAGCGCCAGAGCCAGAGGTCCCACACCATCCTCTCTGTCCTTCTTCATAATAATACACGCTCCCACCCGAGCCACCCCTCGCCAACAGCCTCTTCCCGCTCTACATACCTGTCTCTTCTTACTCTTTCACTCCCCACATCTTCTGCCCTCGCGGACAATCTCCTGTCACTTTGACAGCCACTCTTCGACCGTACTGCGCATCGTACTCGTCGCACTCCGACGTCTCGTCCATTCGTTTGCTCACCGCGACACGCCCTCTCATACCTTATTGAGCATCACCAGCCTAACCCCCCTCCCCCCACACTCGAGCTACGCTCCTTCAAGAAAGAAAGAAGCCCAGCCAGAACTTAGGCGTCGCAGGCTACCGCAACACACGCACGGCGGCTTTCTCTCAGCTCCCATTTTCTCGCCCACAGAATCTGGACAGGCGAGGGAAATCGAATAGGCTCCCGCAAGGCCCATTCTTGGACTCTAATTTTGCGATCGAAACCGAAATCGCTGTCACCGGACAGCACAGCCACTCGCCCTGATGTTTCGCCAAAGGTACAAGGACCCTTCGCGCTGCCAGTGCCACCCACGTAAAATGCATCGCATCGCATCACCCACGCATGCGCGGGCGCACGCGACTTGCTGCATCTCGCGCAAGGCAATATTCCTACTCGTTCCCGCAATCAACTTTACTGACACTTTGCGCTTTCTACCAGGACGAGCACCCAGAAGCCTGGGGACGAGTTTCTGGCCAATTTCAGACAGCAGTTTCCCGAAGCTGCGGTCGGCGCATCGTCTGCGCAAGCCCAACCCGCCCATACAACAACCACTGACAATACCGCTGTTGCCGCCCCGGCGCTTGAGAGGTACCTGCCCACGACGCCCTGATGCTCAGGGGCACCGCGCCCTCTTTGTTGATCTTGACCACTTTCTAATGCAGCAATAGTGCCCACCATGAAGCTTTCCGTGACCAAGATCCCACACCGAGAGCACAGCATGAGCCCTGGCGGTTCACGCCATCCCTGTTAGATCCTAACTCGTTCTCCTTCTCCAGCTTCGCCAATGCGCCGCCCGGATACTACACCCCTACCCCCGGCGGTACCAACACCATCTATCATCCCCAGGCCGGAGACCTGCACACGCCTACCATGGGTCTCGGTATGGGCCTGGGAACACCGCTGTCAATGCCGACGTCCGAGGGTGCATCCATGCCCCCATCCTCTACCATGATGGAGATGGCGGGCTTTCAGGCCTTGCAGCCTCACCAGTTTCACCATTTCAACCCCTTCATCCAGGCTCCTCCGCCTCAGCAACAATCCTTTGCGCCGTCGACGTTTGTGCATCAGGACACCGGCTACGAGACGATGGACCATGACGGCTCGCCAATGGATTCGGATCCGTCAGACGAACGTATGGTTTCCTTGGACGGTACATTACACCATGGGTCTCCGTTGGTCGGTTTCCAGCCCCAGCAGCATCAGCAACAGCGACAATTTACCGGCATGTCAATGGCCGTCCCTCTGCCGGCCTCGGCAGAGAAGTTTCGGTTCCACGCGACTCTGAACGCTCCGACCGCCATGATCAAACACGCAGACGAGATTCCAGTAACGTATCTCAACAAAGGCCAGGCCTATTCACTCTCTATCGTTGATACCAATGCGGCGCTTCCTCTTCTTCCCGGCACGAGATATCGGACATTTGTGCGCATTTCTTTCGAAGACGAGCAACAACGACTGAAACCCGGCGTTTGTTGGAGCTTGTGGAAAGAGGGGAGGGGCACGAACGAAGCTCATCAGCGTGGAGGGAAATTGCAGGCCGTTGAGTATGTCGAGACAAAAGATGCTGCACACGAAGGCGATGACAGGCGAACCCGCACCGAGCTGGATACCTCCTCATTCGACGGCTTCTCGGTCATATGGACACCCGGAGCGAATGGCGGGCCTGAATGCAATATTGCCGTTCGATTCAACTTCCTGTCGACCGACTTTAGCCACTCCAAGGGCGTTAAAGGCATACCCGTGAGACTCTGCGCCAAGACCGACCTATTACCCGCCGACTCTGCACAACCTGCAGCCGATGCGACACCTGAGATATGCTTCTGCAAGGTCAAACTGTTCCGAGACCATGGTGCCGAGCGCAAGCTTTCCAACGACGTGGCTCATGTCAAGAAGACTATCGACAAGCTGAAGCAGCAAATCGCTCAAGCAGAGAGCGGATTGAAGGACTTTGGAAAGCGAAAGCGGTCTTCGGCAGTACACATCAAGTCCACAGGATCAGAAAGGCCCGGTAAAGTCCAAAAGCATAAGCGAACCTGGTCCATGTCTTCGGCGAGTTCGGCAGGTGGCGGTGGAGGACGTCCTCCCGTTGAAGAGGAACTCCACTTTAAACTACAGTCGCTACAGGATATGTTCACCAGCACTCGACCTGTCAGTGTCCTCTATCTTCGCGGCGAGGACCTCGATGACCCGGATGCGCACCCCGTCTCGCTACCTCAAGATTCTGCTGATCTCACCAAGGTGGAATCGAGAGATAGCGCTCAGTGGCAGATGCGTAGCGGACGCAGCTCCGTTGCGGGCTCATCGATGGTCTCGCCCTCGCCAAGTTCCCTCTCACTCGCATCTCAAGCTTCGGCGGTACCCAACCGACAGTGGTCGGGCTTCGACAGCGAGGGCACGGGGCAGCGGGGTCTCGCCCAGGACAGCACCAGCCAACAAGGGTCGCTAAAGACAGACGACACAGGTGGCCTGAGCGGGCTGGATCGAGGCTCTCGGTGTCGATCCTTCTTACAGACCGCCGCCGGAACGCGTCACCAAGCCCGTCGCTTGCTTCTACGTCGCGCAGAAGAAACCTACCGGCACTGAACGACGCGAACTTCACAAGGCCATTTACCTCGGCCAACGCACGCTCAAAGATTTCAATTTCCGAGTAGCCTCAAAATGGAACCTGCAACCCTCGAGAGTCCTACGAACAATCCACGTCCTGCAACAAGGACTCGAGGTTGAAATCGATGACGATGTGATCCAGGAACTCAAAGAGGGCCAAGACATGACCCTGGAGGTTGTCGAAATTGGCCCAGAGGCTGCTGTCCAGGTTAAGCGTGAATGGGAAATGGCTGTCGACCAGAACGACAACGATACAGCAGCCTCGTCAACCCCACCTCAGGGCGGATATGAACTTCGACTATCATTCTGATGCAATACGATAAGCGAGGCTTTCCCTTTCTACCTACAGCAAATTAAGCACAGCGCGAGGTCCGCAACGGACCTCGTTCATGCCCCGCTCCTTATACCGCCATGTGGACTTTCCCGGCTGCAGATACACGTAATACCTACTTGCACATAGGTCGGTGGGACACGATTGATAACGGCGTTGCTCCCCATTTCATTCTTCTTTTCCCAAGATACCAAGTCCCGCTAGGGGCATTTATTCTTCTTTTCTAAGCGTCCTACGGGACTTTTTTCCTCGGAGTCGATACACTAGACGGACAACCATACTGCGGCTTTCTTTTTCCACCTTGATCATGGATGGATAAGCACGGATGTCAGCTTATCAGAGCGTGAGCAAAAGGCGATGGATGAGATGAGAGGACCTGGCAGAGACCTGGAAGTCATGGACGGACATCTGATGCTAACTTTGCTGAGCTGCTGGGCAACATCAGGCGGTCCGGCGGCCGTCATATCCCTTGTTGTCACGAGCCTTTTGCATTTCTTGATTCCGATTTTTGAACACAATTATTTCATGTTTTCGTTCCTTTTGTATTACGAAGCAATCCGATATTCGATTTCTCGCTGAACATGATGGGAAACTGGGCAGAGACTCACGGGCAGACGCGGCGGGGGTGTGGCCAACTGGTTGTCCGGTACATTTTCACGTTTGTATCTTTGGGATTAGCGGCAGTATACCCAGAAAGAGCGCGAGAGAACAAAATGAGGTTTATTGAGTCGAAAAAGGTGCGCCTCCCCAGCAATCTGTGACTACGTGCATCAAACGGTCCGGGCCACTGCTACGTGGTCCGTGATGGCGTCTTTTCCTCCGCACCAGCACGGGGCATCTTCTACTTAGATACCTTACCTCGAAATGCAGTGTGGGAGGGGGCGGGGGTATGTCTGGTTCGTGGCGCATTCCTCGACGAAGGTTAGATGGAGTGTACAATAAAGCGAGAGAGATTTGGCCGCTTCCTCCCATGGCTAATCTCGCGTGGGACGCACTGTTGCCAGGGTGCTTCACGATCGTGATTCGCTCCCGCAGGAGATATGTCCTGGCCTTACAGATAAATCCGGCATCAACATCTCCTTCAACCCCCCTCTTCGCTTCAACGGCACGCGAAATCGGCGCAACCCCCCTTGTAGAGTCCGTTAGGCTGGGTTCGCACTTGCAACGTCGCGGGCAGAAATTTACCTCAGTCATTTCGTCGTCTAGGCCGTCGTTTTTCGGGGGGGCTAGGCCGGGGGGTGGTGTTGGATGCTGTGTTTCTGCGTGTGGAGGACGTTTCCGTGAGACCGGCTCGGCGGGTAGGGTAGAGAGGGGGGGTGCAGTTTTGGGGGAGGAGATTCGGAGCCTCGGAGGGCTAGCTAGGGGGCGGCTAGGTACAGCTAGGGAAGGGTAGGTACCGTTGTCAGGTTGCATTCTAGATTCAAATGTGGCGCGCGCAACGTCTTTGTCTCACTTGCCACGCTACGAAGAAGGCCTGGGTCTAAGGGGAGGGGGGGGGGAGGCCCTCGGGTGCTTGTCTCCATGCTAACTTCCTCTGCGGTCCGTCTTTTGTTTGGCTTTCTGTGAAGCGCACTGGCTAAATCAGTTTTCTGTGGGCTGAGGGAGGATTGCAATGGGATGGTTTACGGGATGACCGGACCTTGGCGACAAGATGCAGCCGGCGAGCTTGGGGAGGCAAGGGGAGTGAGCATGCTTGCGCCGAGGGATTGTTGATGTCAGTGACTGGTTGTCATGGTGGGGGCGGCTAAGCCACACTAGCTGTGGCGAGTGCTTGCGCGTCTGGCCAACAGCGCTACCAGCTAGCTCGCTGTAGGATTTGAAGATTGGAGCAATTCCCCTGAAATCAAGAGGTACTTTCGGCCATGTATTCGGCTCTAGCAATGGTACGAAGCACTGGTCTTGGGATCTCGACCCCCGTGGGGACGCGCAAGCCACATATGTGGCTCAAAGATGCGGACGATGGCTCCCTTTCAGCCGAAGATGATTGGCGCCACATTTTTGACCAGCAAGTGTGGCTGATGACATGGAGAGCAAAATTCCAACGTCAATCAGGCACCTGTGTAGATCACCAGGTAGGTCGATTGTCTGCATGCTGCCGTCAAATTCACTGTTCGCGCACAAGAGGGAACGACGATCCCTATGCACAATTCGAGACTTGTCTAGCAATCACGACTTGGGCGGCCTCCCGATCGCCCTAAACATGAAGTCGGTGATCATCGCTTGCTGCTTCGTAAAGAGACCGGCCGAGATTGCCGGATCTTCGCGGTGACGCAGAACCACAGTGTTCCTCTGTTGAGTATCTCGTCCGTCACAGAATCAGTGCGCCTGTCGTCGCAATGGCGTTGCCCCCTGTGTCTCAAGCTACATGAACGCAGTTGCTTTGGTTCACAGGTCGCGCAGTGTGTAGCAGGCTGACTATGCGTAGGGCGAGCACAAACTTTGAATACTAGCCAGTAATTCCATGCCGTGTCTCACATTCGCAATGCGGTGGCCTGTGAGTATCATCCATTAATGGGAGCCAAGGACGGGGCCGATTACGACCCCGAGAAGACGGATAACAGCCACGCCTCGAACACGAACGATCCTCCTAGCCTCGGCGCGGGGCTCTTGGGCCCTTGATGGCCTTATGCCAGTGTTTAAGGGCTAACTGGGGGTACCAGCGCACCGATCGCACACTATGTCGCACTGGTTCAGGAAGGTCTTCAAGGATGGCGTGTGCAGATATGCAGCCCTGAACTTGGCCGGTCGTGGGCACGTAGAAATAAGCCACAGAGCCGACATTTGTACCGGTACTTCGGCCTTCTTGTGGGAGACACTCGCCACAATGCGGAGGTGTTTGGGGGGGGCCACAAGCACAAGAAGGGAGGGGTTCATTGTGGCTTGACTGGACTGACTACGGTGGCTTATGCTGGCGCAACGTCCAGTGTCGTCCAGATGCGGATATACGACTGCCGATCACCCTCACACAGGCGTCATCCCGCACAGCACCAACATATCACCGTCGCATCATGAGATATGGTCACAAGATGAGAGGACGGCCAGGGAGCCGAGATCACAGGCCGTTCGCTTCGTGCTGGCCGCTACGCGAGAAGACGATCATCACGCTCTCCGAGGTCCAGAACCTCCAACTGACATGGCCTTACGTGACACATGCGCGACTGTTGTCGGTCGTACTGGGCACTAGACCAGTAGCGGCGAGTCGGAGCCTCACCGTTCATGATCATCCTCGGGCCCGGAGAGGCACAGCCACGCGTAACTTCCAGGGGAACGAGCCAATAGAGGTCGTGAAGTCACTATTTTCAGCTCTTCAGGGGCCCCGTCAGTTACATTGGCGTATCATAGCGCCATGACAGATGGCGACGTAGTCTTCGCCACAGCAGACGACGATCCTCGCGCCTGGTGTGGCTCACGCACCTCGCCACATGTCGGATCGAGACGATGGGAGAAAAGGGGGCCACAGAACAGCCGTGGCTGAACCCAATGGGCGCCGTCAACACGACTGTCTGATTTACGCTTTCCTTCTTTGTGGAGGGAGCTCTCGAGAGGAGAGCCTTCTCTTCTCCAGCGGCTTCAGCCGCAGGCAGGTACTCGCCACAGAGCCCACAGGAGGGGTGTGTCTGCAGGGAGGGGGTACGGTTTCGAGCGGCAGCCAAGGAAGCAACGTCACTGTCTATCTTGACCAGTCCAAAGCCACTCATTGGAGCTCTGGGACCCCCGGCGCGTCCAGACTTTCGGGACGGACCTAAAGATAGGGGGGGTGCCGCCCGCAGGTGGGCCGTGATCTTGGTTCCCGGCGAGCCACAGCCTGGCCAAGGGGGGGTGCTTTCGTCCCTGGGCGAGGAGAGGCTGAACAGGATAAAGAGACTCGATGTCCTCTCATCGACGACATGTCGGCATGCTTGACATCGGTCGCTGAGATGGCTTGCACCCGTCCCGACGCCTCGCCCCTCTCAATTTCACAGCTGCTTCCTCTATGCTGTTGGGCTCGAATTTCCTCCCCTATCCCCTTATATGCCCTTTCAACTTAGGAAGCCACGCGCTGACATAGTTCACCAGTCGATCTAGTTCTGTAACTTCAGCCACACCCACGCGAGACCCCTTGCCAGTCACCGGGGGATATGAGGCTTCACTGGAACGTCAACGGTGAACCAATGGCAGCATCTACTGCATCTCGTCGCTTTCCCGATGCGGTAGTTGAGGGACTCGCCACACTGCCGTGAATGTATCGAAACGACCAGGTCGAGACGGTCAGTCAGACTCAAGGCAAAATTCCAGGAGGTTCGTGGTGGCGAAAGTTCCGTCCGTTACAAAGCGGGGAGCAGAGCACCCTGGGTGCTTCAGGGCTCTTACGGCCCCAGATGTGCTGGGACCACGCTCTCTGTTTCCTCCTGCCAGCGATTCCTGGCGGTGGAAGCCGCCAGAAGGCTGGCATGAGGGGGAGAATGCAGGATGTGGCGTCCTGTCCTGGGGCTGCAGGCTTCAGAGCACTTCTCGATCGGCAGTCTCCATCACGCACAGGAGTACCATGGTTTTCTTCACGACGCCTCCGGAAAAAACTCTCCTTCGGCCATCGAGTGAGGTCTCTCGAATCTGTGCAATTTTCTTCACAACAAGCCTGAGGATGCTATATCGTCGCAAGATCTCCGCCATCCATTACCCGTCTGGGCTTCCATTGGACAATGGACGCTTCAGAGCTCTCGGGAAGAGCAGCGATCATCGCAAGCTCCAGTGAGCTGTCCCAATTGCTGCTGTATCAGGTCGTGGTGGCGAGAGACAATGCTCTTTTTGGATGGGATTTGCGATTTTTCTAAGGCGGGGAAACGGGCAATCAGACGTGCCGGCCAAATGTGCTTGGGATTTATGCGGTCGGGGATTGGACATGAGAGTCCACTGCCAGCTGCTTCACTGGCCATGTCAGTGGCGACAGAGCATACTTTTCCCTGGGAGCTGCCTCGCAGTTCCAATTCACAAGGCAAATTGGGCACACTGCATCAGTTTTGAGCCATGTTTGTGAGCACTCAGGGCAACTTGGCGCCTGCTGCTATGGGGCGGGTGTGGGAAGCGATGACGGCATGATTGGCGCCGATCGGCGCCGTCCGCCCATTCTGCGGTTCTTGAACCACGGCCGATTATGGTGATAATGATACGCGATTGAATTAAAGCCGTCCCGTCCCTCCAACATATCCTCGGAAGTTGAAATATTACACAGCGGCTGGCAGGCGAGGGATCATGTTATTTCGTTTGTGGCCCAGCTACGGTTGTCCAATGTCGAATCAAGCGACCGCACCTTGGCATGGCCGGCGGCGTGCTGGTTCAGTATTCATATCCCCCTAGCCGTAGGCTTCTTTGAGATTTGATTCTTGGCATTCGAACATTCAGGTCTTAATAACTTTCTCGTCTATTTTTCTCGACTCGTATCCATATCCTCATAAACGGAGAAGGCATCATCCGCGAACCTGCCGTGAGGAATTACAATGATGCAAAGTTAACTCTGCACGCAATGCGTGCCCTAAAGATTCGAATGCACGTACATGTTCTCGGATATTCTTCTCCCAAGTTATACCATGCGGATGAGTTATGGTCCATTTACCAAATCACGCCCAAGTGTCGGGGGACATAGTTCCTGTACAGGCACCCAGCTTTCTGTGGCATGACCCAGCCTGCAGCGGAATGAACTACAATATAGATCGTCTGGAAGCCTTCTGGTGAGCCTTCGGATCGAGAGTTCAAGAAACTTGGCACATACAATGGCGCTTCTTGGAGGCAACCTCTGAGGCGAAGTAAACAGACAAAAAACCCGACTACACAGACTATGGGCGTGTTTCATGCCAGTGCGATTCAATGATGTGCCCGTAAGTTAAAGACTCAGCCTGCCAATGAGACTGTATGAAGCCGATTTCGGAAGAAGTAGTAGATATCTACCTCGGGGACGTACTCAATATCCTTCACATTTGCGGTGTGACTTACGGTTGTGAGCAGACTTCATGGCAAGAAAGTTGCATGGCCAGCTTGGCAGACTATCTTGTCAAGAACCATATCTAGGATTTCAAAAAGTTTCTTCGTGCTCGTCGTTGTATTGATAGGCTACAGCTCTGCTTCCAGCTCTCTGCTAACTTCCAGAGCGCGGGAGAGAGGCATCGCAAAGCGGGTAGTTGCACGTGTCGACGAGCATGTGGCATTGTTGTCAGAAAATATGCTGAAATGAAAGATTATGTATTCGCTACTTCAGTTGGTTGTGGTTCCAGAAAAGTCTTTCATTTGGAGGGCAAGTGAACAAAACTGGCCATAAGCATCCACTGATGTCCTCAAGCACTGATTGCGAAGATCTCACGAAACTTAAATCATGGGAAGACTGCCAACAGCCTCATTGGCAACGGAAAACGCTCGGATTATTCAGATCATAACATCCGTACATATTCCTCAACATTTTTTTAAGTCTCCGATTGAACCGGATTTTGGGGACGCCGCCAGTAACCTCCAAGTGACGGTTGGAGACTGATCGTGGCCGTCTCCTGAATGGAGGGATGCTCGTGTGCGACCGCAACCAGCAGCATCGTCACGGAAAAGACAGATTGGGATTGCGAGCGACGGTAAGAAGTCAGGCAAGTGGGTCATCGATGTTGTGGACTACCTGTCTACGGTAGATAATTCATGTCCTAGGAAGCATTCGGCCACTGCCATCGAGCCGGTTTGAAGCTGCATTCTCGACAGCAGTGCGAGTTGGGAGGTTCACATAGTTTCCTCCTCAAGAAAAAGAAAGGTTTGAATCTTCTTTCAGATGACGATAGATTTGGGGGGTGTGAGTTCAATTCCAGCGTGGTAACATAAGTTATTGCGGTGCCGTGGGCAATTCATGATGGCCTGCACTTAACTTGCGGGCCTACCGTACGCAGCAGACGAACGACTAAGTGAAGCCTAGTCTGTGGTCATTGTGTCTGCAGGTTGAGATGAGTCAGCAACTGGAGAAACAAGTGGCTTGCTCCAGTGGCTTGAAGTATGGCTTGATCAGCACGTGACTCGGTGGGGGCAGTTCGCCAATTGCAGCATGGACCGTGCGTCGTGTGCAGCTTTTGGAGCTCCAGGAAAAAACTTCCCAACCAGTGGGGGAAAATTCAGAAAAATCGACATCGTCGGCGCCTCCAAGTCCACAGGTCGAGATCGGAACACAACGAATTCGCCAATCCACCACCCACAGCGCGAAGTCCGTCACAATCACAATGGCGAGCGTCAATTACGTGCTTTACGAAGCCCCTATGGGCTATGGTGTCTTCCAGGTCGAGCACCAGGCTGACAGCATTGGTCTTCGCTCTAAGGAGACCCAGGAGGCCATCAACGACCTGTCGCGCTTCGGCAAGATGATCAAGCTCCTCAACTTCACCCCCTTCCAGTAAGAGACGCTCCAAGGATCAATGCGCACCGCTGCATGCCATTGAGCACGCGGCAAGTGCGTTGGCGGAGAACTACAAGTCGGCTAACCCAGCGGAACAGCACTGGTAAGGAAGCGCTCAGCGAGATCAACATGATCTCTGAGGGTGTCATGTCCGACAACCTCAAGTCGATCCTCGAGCTCAACCTCCCCAAGACCAGCGGCAAGAAGAGCAAGGTCGTCCTGGCCGTCGCCGAGAAGAACCTCGCCAGCAGCATCAAGTCTTCTTTCACTGGTGTCGATTGCGAGACTGGCGAGACCTCTGAGGTCGCCGCCGACTTCCTCCGTGGTGTCCGCCTCCACGCCGATAAGCTCCTGAAGGCCTGCAGACTGGTGAGACCGCACAGGCTGGTCTTGGTCTCGGCCACGCCTACTCCCGTAGCAAGGTTAAGTTCAACACCACCAAGAACGACAACCACATCATCCAGGCCAGCGCCACCATCGACTTCCAGGAATAGGGCGTCCACTCAGTTTTTTATGCGTGTGCGCGAAATGGTACGGTTGGAACTTTCTCCGATGTTTTTCTTAGATTTGTTTTCTTATACCTTGA